GTCGCTCTTAAATACATTAATAGCCTCTAAACATGGCAAACAAAGATTTAAGTAAACTAAAAGTTCATTTTTAATTAGTTTTAATGAAGCTTTATTCCTGTCGTCCCGCCACTTTGCGTTCATAACAGAGAATACTCTTTCTGTAAATGCTGAAGTGGCCGGAACGGACAGCAAAAGTGACACTACCTTGAACAGATTTGGGAAATCACGTTGTTCCGTAAATATGGCTTGTCATTTTTCTGTGCAATATTATTGATATAAAGGTGCTCTGAACTTCGAATAATCGCTTACAAAATTACGATGTTTACTCAAGGCCTTAAATAAAGTATTTTTGCGTACTTTATGTGTCTTGTAAAGTATAACGTACGCACAGTCGAAATAGAGTACAATAAAGCACGGGTAGCAACCCTAGGTGTAACGTTGTCAATTTTGCGAATTTTTGAATTAAAGGTGTTAGGCCCCTTGCCATGCGCCCTTTCTCCGTCACTGGGTTTGTACTGTTTTTCCATTAAGTCAAACGCGACGGGCCTAGAGAGGTCGGACTTTTTCGCGAATGTGCGCGAAAAACGTTTTCACGCCTTGCTTCCCATCCACAAAGACGATAAAGGTTATTTGTGTTGAAAAGGGCGGAATTAACGTTTCAATGATAAAAGAAGCAATTGAGCTTGCAAAAATGCAGAAATTTTCAACACTTCCAGCCTTTTATACGTAAACTTTATATACATCATCGTCCATAAATTTAAAGCTAATCCTTTTAGGCATCTTCACATTATTATCTGCAACATTTTTTCATTATGGAATTTCATATTAACGTTTGTTTCATCCACCTTAGCGTATCTACTTTATTTTCTGCACTACAAACTAATCTAATCAACAACGGAATTTTTAATTCCATGTACGTAACTATAAAATGGTAGCTACCAAAAATCATCGATATTCTCTTGCTAAGTATATTTTGTTGAAAGTTACTTAATTTATTGATTTTCTGCACGATTTTATTCGCATACAAAAAAGATCAAATTTGACTTTCGGTGACAATCGTTGAAAATTTTGGTGAAGGCGCCAGGACAATTTAAAACCAACACAATAATTAAATTCTAATTCTTGTTTCATTGAAGTAGACCGATACATTATCAGCTTTAAATTATGTTTTTTTCCATGTAGACGCAGTTTAGGGATGCTAATTTATATTTTTCTTTTTACAACAAATAATTAAATTACAATTTGCAATACATTTATAGACAACCCAACATACAGGCAATTATTTTTTAATTAATTGTAAAATAGACTCCGGGTACTCAGTGGATAGGAAATCGTTTGTGAATTACAAATGTGCAAGGTAAAATGTTTGTGAATGCTTATTTTTCAAGGAAAAAAGAAAAATAAGTTTAATTTTTTACTGCCCTCTGATGTTATCATAAATAGTTATATAGGGAAGTTGATATACTGCTGTTGGTTGTCATATCTATGGTGTTCATCTATATCTATTTTACTTTATTTTCAGTTCATAGACAAATTCAGTTGTGGTCATAGATAATAGGTTGTGGTTGTCATTAACAGAAATCAAGGGTGAATTTTTAAGAAAATATTGAATATTAACTAAACTGATTCAAAGTGTGTATACTGTTTGAATTGTTAGTGTTCCCTACTTCTTATTTGCTGCTACTATTTAAAGTAAGTGATTAAAATATGTATGTATGTAGTACTTCTTCTATATCGTTACATTTAACCTAAAAATGTAAGTAACACATGATAATGTACTGCTTTTTTTTCATTACTTTAGTCTATGACTTTAGTATAACTATTCATAATGAGTCGATTTTTTGCTACTGGTTCGGACTCTGATTCGGACAGTTCAACAGAAGAGGAGGTCGTACAACGTCCCACAGTTCCTGTCTATACAGTATGTAATTGTAACATGCGTAAGCTACTTTTTCAAATCATTAGTAATATAAATTTTAGTTCAGTGATGAAGAGGAGGAAGTTAAACGAGTTGTACGTTCAACGAAAGAGAAACGTTATGAAGAACTTACAAATTTAATAAAGCAAATCAGAAACTATAAAAAGATTAAGGATATGAGTAGCATGTTGACAAGTAAATAATGGCACATAAAATTAGGGAAAATTGGTTTATAATTTAAATTTTTAGGTTTTGAAGAATTACAAAGAGCTTATGTGAAGGCATTACCAGTTGTTCAGAAGGAAGAAAATGGACAGACTCCCAGATTTTACACTCGTTGTTTAGTGGAACTTGAGGACTTTATTACTGAGGTATGGGAGGATCGTGAAGGAAGGAAAAACATGAGTAAAAACAATAGGTAAGTACTGAACATTGAAATGTGCATGGACTACATTTTGTTATTTTTAACAGTAAATCGTTATCATCTATTCGTCAAAAGTTAAGGAAATATTTGAAGGAATTTGACCAAGATATTGCCAAATTCCGTGAAAATCCCGATTTGCCTGACGATGAAGAAGAAGAAGATAAACGTAATATTTGCGCATTTTTCGTTTAATATCTGTTATTATTATCGATATTTTACTAGGTGAGCCGGAAATTGATTCAGACACGGAACAACCTATTAAGATAAGCCAGCGTCCCTCCGAACGTTCCAAACCTACAGATGAAGGAAACTCCTCTTCTGACTCGGATGATTGGCCATCAGACTCAGATTCAAGTTCTGATTCATCTGAAGACGAAGAAAAGTTTACAAGCATGAGGGAGAGGTTTTTAAAAAAAGCAACAGATAAAGACGACGATGAAGAGAAAGAACGCAAAAAGGAGGAACGTAAAAAAGAGAGAAAGGATCGTGACAAACGTAAAATAAGAAAAGAAGATGAAGAAGATGGCGAAGGAGAATGGGAGACTGTTAAGGGAGGAATGGCAATACCAAGTGTATGTTTTTATTTCTGTGTTTTTCATTATTTTGATGTTTTCTTTGTGTTTTAGGAGAAGCCGAAAATGTTCGCCAAAGATGCTGAAATTAATACTTCTCTTGTAATTAAGAAATTAAGCGAAATTATTGCCGCCAGAGGCAAGAAGAGAACAGACAGGCGTGAGCAAATCGAACTTTTACACGAACTCCAAACAGTAGCTGATCAACACCAACTGGGCCCTGCTGTAGCCATCAAAATTAAATTCGCTATAATTTCGGCAATTTTTGATTACAATCCAAAAGTTTCTGATGCAATGAAACCAGAATATTGGACTAAGTAATTAATTAATTATCTGAATTAAATTTCACTGTAGATCCAACGCTTCTATGTTTCTATAGGTTGTTAGAAAGAATTGCTGAGATGCTAGACATGCTAGAGGCAAATCCGAACATATTTATTTCCGACAGCGTCACTGAGGACACAGAGAGTCTCGAAGAGCCCCCGTTCAGGATTAGAGGATGCGTGTTAACATCTCTGGAACGTTTGGATGACGAATTCATTAAGTTGCTGAAAGAATGTGATCCTCATAGCAACGAATATATCGAAAGGTGTAGAAGTATTATTCTGATAAAATTGTGATGCTTATTAGAACATGTTTTTATTCTAGATTAAAGGACGAGTCAAAGGTATCTGCAATAATATGCAAAGTGCAGAATTATTTAGAAAGATATGGGACGCCCACGGAGTTGTGTCGCATTTATTTACGTAAAATAGAACATCTTTATTACAAGTTTGATCCACGAGTTCTTCAAAAAAAAGCTGTAAGTTTTACCATTATTTAGTTTTTTATGGGAGTAAATTTAATTTGAACATTGAAAGGAGTAAGTAACTAGCCCACCTGCAGGTATACTTGTGGGGGAAATTGTTGTACTGTATTTTATTTAGATTTATTTATTTAAAGTTATTCTATGCGTTTCCCATATTTATATTTATTACTCGTTTAGGGCGAATTACCAGCAACTGAAGTCACATCTGTTGACGAAATGGACAAATTATGCAAGTATATCTACGCAAAAGACGCAACAGATCGATTAAGAACTCGCGCTATCTTATCTCACATTTATCATCACGCTTTACATGACAACTGGTTCCAAGCCAGAGACTTGGTACTCATGTCTCATTTGCAAGAAAATATTCAACATTCCGATCCGAGCACACAGGTAGGTGAAATCAACTTCACTCTAAGTTATAATCAGTCCAAGTCCGAGTTTATTTTCAGATTTTGTACAACAGAATGATGGCTCATCTTGGTCTTTGTGCTTTTCGGCATGCTAACATCAAAGATGCCCACAACTGTTTAGTTGATTTGATGATGACCGGAAAACCCAAAGAACTATTGGCACAAGGTCTTCTTCCACAGGTAAAGTAATTTATACGTCATAACACTTGGCGTTGCCTATTAAGTTATTCTTTCAGCGTCAAAACGAGCGTAGTAAGGAACAAGAAAAGATTGAGAAGCAACGTCAAATGCCATTTCATATGCATATAAATTTGGAGTTGCTCGAATGTGTCTATTTGGTATCTGCCATGCTGATAGAGATCCCGTATATGGCAGCGCACGAGTTCGACGCTCGCAGACGCATGATTTCGAAAACTTTCTACCAACAATTGCGCAGTTCCGAACGCCAAAGTTTAGTAGGCCCCCCGGAAAGTATGCGTGAACATGTAGTAGCTGCCGCCAAAGCCATGCGAAACGGACACTGGGCCGCTTGCAACAACTACATAATTAACGAAAAAATGAACGCAAAGGTGTATATAGTAATTAAAATAATATGTTTGCTTTTTACTCTTCGTTATCACTGTAACAATAATGGTTTCTTTTGTATTGTAAAAGGTTTGGGACTTATTTTATCAAGCAGATGCTGTCCGTTCAATGTTGACACGCCTTATAAAAGAAGAAACGTTGCGAACATACCTGTTCACGTACTCTCACGTATACGACTCGATTTCGATGACAACATTGGCTGAGATGTTCGAATTAAGTAAAGCAGTTGTTCATTCTACTATTTCGAAAATGATTATTAACGAAGAACTAATGGTAAATTTTAAATATTTAAAAGGCCGAAAGAAAAATAAAGTTGTTATTTTAGGCATCTTTAGACGATCCATCCCAAACTGTTGTTATGCACAGGAGTGAACCGTCACGTCTCCAATCGTTGGCTCTACAATTGGCCGATAAAGTTAACAATTTCGTGGACTCTAACGAGCGCATACTGGAGACGAAGCAAGGAAACTTCTTCCTTAGGAGCGCCAACCAGGTCGATTTTTAGTATTAGTGATAAAAAATAAAAGAATAACTATAAATGGATCGACGTTAATTAAAGAAAAAAAGCTTCACTCCCTAATTATTAATTTATTTCAAAACCAACGGGTACAGGCCCTTACAGAAACAGTTTTACTGTGTAATTTATAGATACTACAATTCCATAATAGTTTATATTACTTGTTATTTTTCATTAATTATTCATAACAAATTTCAGGGGGTATTCCGTAACGAGAGGCAGAACTACAGGGCAGGCACCAACGAGAATTGGAATCGACAGAGGCGTGACAACAGAAGAGACTATTAACTTCGAAAAAATTGCTTGGAGTAAGAGACAGTTTTTGTAACTCTTACATAAATTTCCTATAAATAAATACAAGCAAAAAACAATATTATATCTTTATTGCTAAAAAGAATTGATCGACTTTATCCTACAATAATTACGACTTTAATCTTATGTGGGCAGCAAGTAAAACAATGTAACAATAGCGTTTTTTATTTGCTTCTCATTAGTTACTCGGCTCATACTTAATTAGCGCTTAATGGAATAAATGAAAGTGGTACGTCTTGTAAGTTTTACTTTACTATTTATTGGTTTTATTTTAGTTCAGGTAAGTTATCAGTAATTTAAGTTATATAAAGTTTAATCGTTTTAACTTTTTTCTAGACAAGAGAAGAATCTTATAATGATGACCTAGTCGTATATAATTACGAGACGGAAACTTTTGATTATATAAAGACAGACATGTCTCAAAAAGTTATTCGACTTTCTAAAAACTTTGCGGCATTTTTAAATAGTTTGGCATCGTTTGTAGGATCTGCTTTTGAACTTTTTAAAAGAGTTATCGTTGATCAAACGATGATTAATTTAAATAACTTGTCTACTATTCGAGACTTGATTAGCATAAGATATGAGATGCGGAGAAACTTTTTGAAGATATTTTATGCTTTTGTAGATGGGCAAGACAGTTTAAGTATTGAGTGAAAGGACATCCTGTTCACTTAAAAATCTCCGTTTCTTTATAAACAATTGTAAAATATAAATAAATTTTGAATGGGCAAGATTGCTTTTTTCCTAACCTCACATTTATGTGCATAAATAAAAAACAAACCATTGTTTTGCAGGTATGAAAATGTTGTTTTATTATTAAAGAAATGTATTTTTAACAATTTGTAGTTGCTCTTTCTTGTCTGTATGTTTCCAAAATTAACCCCATTATTATCGACATTAATAACACTGTTCTCCCTGCTCCCTGGTTATCTTTGTAAATGAGCTAAGATTTTAAGAATTTTATCAACAGGAGGTTGTAACCAGTTGTGATGGTTAAGTATTACTGCCACTTACTTTAAATATGCTTTTTCTTAATTCCTCTATTCGGCAAAACAATTTCAGGCAGGTTTTATTGACAACACTTTCGAGTTATACATTTAAACGAAGAAATACTATTTTTGCACTCTCTTCTGGTCAAGGGAAATGTGGTGTGGCAGTTATTAGGGTGTCCGGTCCTGAAGCAGGCACCGCTTTGAAAAAACTAACAGCTGCACAATGTTTACCCAGACCAAGAACTGCTGTACTACGAGAAATTGTTAATCCCATTGATAAGGAGATATTAGATAAAGCACTAGTCTTATGGTTCCCTGGTCCAAAAAGCTTTACTGGAGAAAATTCGTGTGAATTTCAAGTACATGGGGGTCATGCAGTTGTAAATTCGGTCTTGAGTGCTCTCCAATGTACCGGATTAAGACCTGCAGAAGCAGGTGAATTTACAAAAAGAGCTTTTCTAAATGGAAAACTTGATTTAACAGAAGTAGAAGGATTGGCCGATTTAATAGCTGCAGAAACAGAATTCCAGAGAAAACAAGCATACTTACAAAGTGAAGGCATTTTAAGTAATATGTACAACAGTTGGAGAGATATATTAATTAAAAGCCTAGCTCATGTGGAAGCCCATATAGATTTTGAGGAAACAGAGGAATTTGATGAACAAATTCTCCAGAACATTTTTGCTGATATAAGAAAATTGAAGGCAGAAATTAGCAGACATTTGGAAGATGGGTGTAAAGGAGAACGTTTACGAAATGGAGTGAAAGCAGTAATCATTGGAGAGACAAATGCTGGAAAAAGTAGCTTTTTTAATATCCTTTGTAAAAAACCAGCATCCATAGTAACTCCTATTGAAGGAACAACTAGGGATGTAATTGAAATTAATGTTGACATAAATGGCTATCCAGTAATCTTAACAGACACAGCAGGTCTTCGTTCTGAAACTAAAGACATTGTGGAACAAGAAGGAATACAGAGAGCAATTTTTCAAATTAACCAAGCAGACCTATTGATTTACATGGTAGACATTGAAAAACTTTTAAACAGTGGCTGTAAAACAGTTAAAGAGTACATTGATAGAATTAATGAGTTTAAGATAAAGCACAGTCATAGTAAAGAAACTATAATCATCCTTAATAAAATCGACTTGATTCATAAAAGAAAAGACAGAATGAGTGATCTGCTTGACAAAGAAAACTGCTTACTAGTATCATGTAAAGATAAAGACGGATTTTCCGCGGTGACAAATAAACTAACAGAGAAGCTACGTTCTTTATGTTTAAATCCAAATAAAGAACATCCCAGCATGACACATATCCGACATAGGAAACACTTAACTGACTGTTTAACATTTCTCGAAAATTTCGAAGAAGAAATTAATACTGCACACGTAGTACTTTTCGCAGAAAACTTAAGGCAAGCAGTTTATCATCTCGGTCAATTAACTGGACGTGTGACAAATGAGCAAATATTAGACATAATATTTAAAGATTTTTGTATAGGGAAATAATTATAATTATGTGTAAATAAATATAATAATAATTAATCTACAATTTTATAATGGTATTACTTCACACTTATAGAAACTATTCGTATGTCGTCATAAGGTTTATCGGTTTTAGGATTAGTCCGAACGTTACCGATATTTTGTATTACTTCCATCCCTTTAACTACCCTACCGAACACAGTGTGTTTGTTATCAAGCCAAGGGGTGGGAGCTAACGTAATAAAAAATTGTGAACCGTTCGTGTTAGGACCCGCATTAGCCATGCTGACAGTGTATGGCCTGTCGTGTCTTAAATGTGAAACAAATTCGTCTTCAAAGTCCCCTCCCCATATGCTTTCGCCTCCTGTTCCGTTCCCTGTTGGATCCCCTGTTTGTACCATAAATCCTTTAATTACACGATGAAAAATGTGACCGTTATAGTAACCGTTTTTACTATGAACGCAAAAATTTTCGACAGCCTTTGGACAATCTTTGGAGAAAAGCTTAAGGTGAATGTCTCCAAAGACTGTGTGTATAACAGCGCTATCGAAAAGTCGTTGTTGTTGTGGATTTTCCATAGCAGCCATCGTTTCCTCTTTACTAGGTTTTTCGTTGAATACGTCTCTCTCCTCTGACAATCCCGTCGAACCAGACTCATCAGGTTCATGTCTACTAAAGAGATAAAAACGAGACTTCTTGTAAGCTGTGCAGACAATAGTAGGGTCCGGCTGAATAGCTTCCAGCGTAGGGTTTTCTGATGCTTCCATTTCAAATGTCACAGTAGCCTTCGAACGTTTTGCAGAACCTGTATTTGAATGAATAATGCATAATTATATTGTATCGCACTCTTTTATCTCTAGTATGGGTAACTCTTAATAATATCAGTTTGCCCTCAGAAATGTATATTTACCTTGATAAAGTGCAATGTGTAGAATTCTGAAGTTTTCCTGTTTTCCGATTATTTTTACGCAAGTGTTGGTATGGATGTTAACCAGCTTAATACCCAACATTGTGGCATATAATATAAAATAACCACTTTTATCAAATATAACGTTAGCCAAGTGAAATGAGTCGGTCTTTTCTAAATCTCGTTCTACAGCCATTCTGCGACCAAATTCCATATTTGGCAAGAGTTGTTTGCTTTGCTGCAATTCCGTAAAGCGGGGTAGGGATTCATCAAAGATTCGCAACTGGAAAAACAAGTAATTATTTTCTTCTCTGATCTCTATTTAAACCATAAAACAAGAATTAACTTGTAATTTTACCATTTTGCCTGTCAGGAAATTAAAAACTCTTATTCTTCTATCTAATGAGGTAGTGGCGAATTTTAATCCATCTGGAGAGAATGCAAGACTTGTTGGAACAGTCTTGTTCTTAACAAATTCAAATAAATGTGTATCCAGTTTTGATTCAAAGGACACACACCTTGGAATGGTAAAGTCAACTTTAAGTCCACTCCAGTATTCTAACATGCCCTTTTTGTCCACTGAAATTGTTGTATCCATTGGGGGATTGTACTTAATAAGTATGACAGTGTTCATATGCATTTTGTCTAATATTTTAAGTGGTGAATCCTGGGTACCCCTTCCATCATAAATGTATATGTGTGAAGATTCAGCATCTGCTACAGCCAATGTTTGAATTGCATCACCACCACCATGTATCCATTCCACAACACCTGGCACAAAATTCATATACATCATATTAATCATATCAAAATTAAGTATATCAAAAATTTTCACTGATCTATCGGATGATGCTGAACATAGCAATGTTCCATTACAGTTAGCTGATAAGCTAGTAATAGGTCCTGAAAATAATCTCTGGTTAAATATTTTTCACTTCTACTCGGAAAATCCGATATGTTTACCCAAATGACTTCTAAAATGCTTGACAAATTCGATTCCTCTCTCAACTTTTTTCCAAAACTTTATGTGTCCATCACAACTTGCTGTTATAATAAAATTCGTGGCAGCAACTACACAATGAATGACTACGTCTCTGTGCATATAACTCTTCTCATAGGCTTCTGCAGAGGGCAGATTCTCCAAATAAAGGTCTTCATAAGGCAACACTTTCCTCTTTTTTGTCAAAAGTTTTACAGAAGACGATCCCACAGTGCCACCGTTTTCATCTTCAGATTCAAGAATACGTTTTTGTTTTTCTTCACTCATTTGTTTTAACTTCTGTAACTTCAATAATTAAAACTAATATAAAACAAAGGAATACGGTAGTTAATTTCTAGTGCATAATAACAACAAACAAACAATACTTTTAGTTTTGTTTTTATTATTTTTATTTTACAATTTGTAGGTTATTTTAAATTAACAATAACCATAGATTATAACCACAATAGATATATATACATACCAACAGATAATAGCAAATAACATTAACCACAGATATATTAAGGGTGTGCTCAGTAATGTTACTCGGTAAAAAGTAATTATTAAAAATACATTATCTCGTAATTTTAGAATATAATAAAAACCTTTATTTATATTCAAACATTACTGCAGATACCTTTCCTGACATTCCTCCTAACATCACTGCTTATCACTAACAATTCATCTTAATTTCTTTCCTGTTGTAAATGTTTATTAAAAATGTTTCTTTCACATAACAAGCAAGAAGTAATAAATGTTTTGATAAAAAAAGCCTATACCACCCTCCTGACTTCAAAAAATCTCTTAAGGTAATAAATTTGACCAAAAGTCATTGCAACTAGTATAACAGCCTCAAAGAATGACCACATTACAACTCTAGAATTTGTACTTTCATTAATGCTCCTATGAATTCGATCTCTCAACTGCATGTATTCCTGTTCTTGTTTAACACCAGTTAAGGCACCTAAGAAACATTGTATAATAGAGAAATTACTAAAAGAAAGCTGACTAAGAAATTACCACTTAATTCCCGTATCATGTCTTCTAATTTTGTACTGCTTTCTTCTCCTTGATTTTCTTCATGTTTAGCTGATTCTCCAATTTGCATGTTAAACATGACCACTTTAGGGGTCATTGTGGACATTTTATTTGAAAAGCAATATGTGTAAATACCATTTGCATGTGCAGCAAATGTGTATTTGCCAGAAGATTCTCTTTCACCTTGATATATCACTTTACCATCAGGACCCACTATACGAACGTCTATATCTAAGAAGCCTCCTTCAGCTATTTCAAACGTGAGACCTTATAACGAAAAAATGAGAAATTACTTTAATTATTTGAGAAATACTTCATAACCTACTCATTTTTGTGCCACTTTCAACTTTATCAAAGAAACATTCTTCAGCATCTGCATCAACTGTTATATAATAACACGAAACACTATTTATTATCGAAGAATATGCAAACAATACAATTAACAAATTGCCATACATTTTTAATATAAAATAAAGATTAGCCACGTAAACCTTTTTGTGAATGACTTTGGCAGATGTGGTTTATCCATAGATAATGGTTTATCTATAGCTGCAGTTAGGTCATAGATAATAGATATACAAAGCTTCGACCATATATATATGGTCGAAGATACAAAGGGTAATCTATGGTGGCGGTCTATGGTTATGAGTCAACAACTATAGATTATATCAACAAATCTTACCATAGACTTACTAAAAAAATGATACATAGAGTACATATACAACAATGACAACAATAAATAAAATGGCAGGACATGTAAAAAATAAGTTCCATTAAAGTTCTTATTAAATTTGTTTTTCTTGCACTGGAAGTTTATAGTAAAAGAATTACGTTAGTGTTAATTATTAGTGTTGTGTTTAATATGGCCAGGAGACGAGACATATCTGTAAGGTTAGTTTATAAAAAAGCGTTAAGGTTATAAAATTTTAATTCGTTCTAGCATGAAGAAATTGTAAAACAATTTAGCTTACCTGAACGTCAGTCAAAAATTGATACTCTTCTCAAGCAGGATGGACAGGCTTATTGTCTTTGCAGATCTTCTGATAGTTCCAGATTCATGATAGCATGTGATGCTTGTGAAGAATGGTATTCAATCCTTTTTATTCGAAATGACTGGTGACGATTTATTTATTCCATTTCAACAGGTATCACGGAGATTGTATAGCCATTTCTGAGAAAGAAGCCAAGCTAATAAAGCAATATGTTTGCATAAGATGTCATGAAGAAGATCCTACACTCATTACACGGTGGAAGACCAAACGTGAGGATAACTATACTGATAAGGAGGAACATAGATCCCGAAAACGGAAGGATCGTAGTGAAAATAAGATAGACAAGAAAAAGAAGAAATGTGGAGATTGTATGGGATGCTACAGAACAGAAGATTGTGGTCGGTGTGATGTTTGTACAAGGAAATTTAAACACAGTAGACAAAAAGAACGTTGCAAGCAACGTATTTGTGTTAATTATGGGGGGTGAGCAATACACTTGTATGAAAGGAAAAATACAAACTGTTTATTATTGATGTATTGATAAAATGCTAAATTAATTTTTTATGTAGGAGCCATAATCGTCGCAAAAGGAGGGATTCCACCTCAGATAATGAACCCAATACAGCAACCCATTTAATGACAGACTACCCCCGACAGTGTTATGGCCCTGGATGTAGCAATAGTGCACGCTATGGCTCCAAATATTGTTCAGACGTCTGCGGAATTCGTCTCGCAACCAATCGTATTTGTCAAGTGTTACCGCAAAGAATACAAGAATGGGCCCTCAGCCCTTGTATTGCTGAAGAAAAAAATATTAAAGGTGCATAGACGTCACTTTTTGGTAATAAGGAAAGAAACAAAAGAGATTTCTTTTTTTTATAGCTCTTGACCAAGTGAGAAAGCAGCAGCTTGAAGTAAGGCAAATTTTACAAGAATTAGATAAACGCCATGGGGAATTGGACCTTATCATAGACAGAGCAAAAAATGCTAGTATTGTTCCAAACCAAGAGACAGACAATGACGATGACACCGAGATTTCAACATACTGTATTACTTGTGGTCACGAGATTCACTCAAAAACAGCCATTAAGCACATGGAAAAGTGTTTTAATAAATATGAATCACAGGCAACGTTTGGGTCCATATTTAAAACAAAAATTGAAGGTAATTTTTGTTGTAAGAATACTAGATCTTCCCCTATCTACCAGTCACTGTGAGCTCGAAACTGTTAGTTCAGTGCTTTGAGTGGTTGAAATTTGTGAACAATTTGTTTAATCGCTTTCTTTGTGTTAAAAATTGTTTAAAAAATTAAATTTAAAGAAATTGTTTGTAAATAGGTATGCAACACATCATACACTTCAGCATAAGAAATGCTGACAGCATTCATAATTTCTTTTATATATAATTATGAAACTAAGCTAACGATGTTATTAACTTTTTTTTTTAGGAAATAACATGTTCTGCGACTTCTTTAATCCATCAAACAGAACTTATTGCAAAAGATTAAGAGTTTTATGTCCTGAACATTGTAAAGATCCAAAAGTGAATGAAAACGAAGTATGTGGCTGTCCTTTGGTGACTAACGTCTTCTCCCCAACAGGCGAATTCTGCCGAGCTCCAAAGAAGTCCTGCACTAAACATTACGTTTGGGAAAAATTAAGACGAGCTGAGGTGCGGTATTCGATCGTTCTATTTATTTATTTGTTTGAACCAGTTTACATGAAGTTCATGCTGATGTCAAGAATAAGTATACAAAAATACTCATTTTAGCAAACTGTACCCTGCAGGATGTAATAAATTACCTATTTGCAGGACTGGCACATAATACTAATAATAGTACTTATACTATTATTATTTAATTAATAACATACATAAACTAATTATTATTAAAACACAAACATAAACAAAACAAAAAGCAATGGGTATTATTTAATTTATTAATTACGTGATAGCTAAGTTCTCAATTTAAATAGACTGATTTCTTTTCTATTTCACGATTAACAGTAGGTGGTTGAATTTGATTAGTTTTAGTAATGCGATGACTATTATAATACAGATTTATTCACAGGTTTTAATTTTTATCATTTAGATTGATCTGGAAAGAGTACGACAGTGGTTAAAGATGGACGAATTATTAGATAAGGAACGTCAAATAAGACATGCCATGGCTTCTAGAGCTGGAGTATTGGCACTTATGTTGCACTCAACGTATAATCATGAGGTAATGGAACAAATTACAAAAGCTAGTCAACAAGACCAAGCTGCTATGCAAAAGGAAATTGCCGAACGATTTCGAAAAGGGGTAAAACAACGTTTATCTTAGATTTATATAAAAAAAAGGTGGAGACAGAAGCGTCTATTGTTAAGGGAGGTATTACTATTATTTGGCAAACACCTTACAGAAAGATGTAATGATAAGGGGGATTATTTGTTTACCTATTTCAAATAAAAACTCTATATCAAGAAGATAAAGAAAATAGTATAAAACG